GCTAATGCCTCCTTTGAAATACTGCTCATGTATAGGACCCTTTCAAATACTCTACGTGTTGTACCTCCCTTAACCGGGACTCTCTGGTCCGGCAACATTCATGGTCCAAAAGACTACAGATGTTCCTGGACCACAGAATCCAGGTATAGGGAGGTCTGGCCAGAGTGCAGGAGAGCAACAGTGGGAGCGTGGTGCAGGGAGTGGGTGGGAAGCATAGCAGGAAAATCTGGTCCCAACAGCTGCGCAATGGTAGGGGGCCGGCTCCAGACCTGGCAGCAGCCAGGAAGCACTGGTTCTGGCCATGAAGTTCCGGCCCTGGAGCCGGCAGGAGCTAGAAAGCTCCAGCCCAGGGAGCAACCAGGCAACAGAGGGGTGGGTTGGAGTCCTAGCGGGGGGAAGCAGGGGAAGGAACAGGCCAGGAGGAGAAAGACCTTCCCTGGTCCAGCAAATCCCCTCATTCAGGACTGGTCAGGTCCTGAGGGTACCAGACCTGGGAGGTCCAACCTGTACCATGAAAAATGCGTCTCAGAGCATGGATTATGGTCTTTTGAATGTTTTTCGTCCTATACTATACCGATTTCATGGCTGAGACCAGCATTTCTCTAATTGGGGGCTCTAATACAAAAGGAAATTGCAGGATGGTCACAAGATTATTTTAGAGGTGTTGCAGTATTGCCACCCTTCTGTACTGTCTTCAGAGCTGGAAGAACACAGTGTGGTGGCTGTTGGACAAGTGCCCAGCTCTAAAAGTAGTGCCCTGCCAGCAGGAGTGCAGAAATAAGAGTGGCATATCATACTATGCCACCCTTATTTCTGAGCTGCTGCCTTCAGAGCTGGACACCTGGAAAGTGATGACTGCTGACAGAGAGCCCAGCTCTGAAAGCAGATGCACAGAAGTGAAGGTTATAATACCATGCCATCTTTACTTCTGTGCAGATGCTGGCAGTGGCTTTGCCTCCAAAGCTGGACTCTAGGCCAGCAGCTGCAACTCGCCAGCTACCTAACTCTGAAGGAGGTACCACAGCTAGCAGAAGGAAGGGTAGCATTACTGTAATCCCCACCCGGCCACAATAACCTTGCAACCCCCACTCCAAAACTTGTTTTGGTTCAGGAACCCTACAATCACACCACCATGAAATTTTAGATTTAAGTAGCTGAAATAATGAAAGTTACTATTTTTAAAATCCTATGATTGTGAAATTGACCAAAATGGACCATGAATTTGGTAAGTTCCTGTTCATGTGTCTTACAGAAACGCTTCAAAACAACAACTGTAACATTAGGAAGAGCAGAGGAATTACAAGTACAGGTGAAGAGAAGAGATTTTTACAGCATTCCTCAAGTTTATGCAATGCAAATTCTACGTTTTCAATAAAAAAAGTTTACTATTGCGAAGATTACATTACTAAGGCAAGCTGACAGTTTGGTACTACCCGCATAGGCTAACAGACAGGTAGTATAAGTTAAAAAACAGCAGTTGCAGAAGTGAAAAAAACCCTCTTCATTCCCTAGCCATCTCATTGACATGTGAATTGTAAGGTATAATTGGGACCATTTAGACAATTATGAAAAGTGGTTTCTTTTTTTCACATGCAGAAAATGGCAGTAACAGAAAAAAGATATTCTAATCCATTCTAAAGCAGTGAAAAGCATCTCAAATATAATTTAATAATAAAGAAGTAGTCACTGACAGTCTGATGTAGATGACTTCTTGGGTGGCATATCAGAATTGTTATAGATTTAAATCGATTTAATTCTTTAAATTGGTCAGTTTTTTTACTAGAAATTTCAGTGGCTAAACCCATTTTTTGTTTATTCAAACAAAATTATTTTTATGTAACAGCTTTGCAGTTCTTTAAATTTACCATCTGTTCAAATGGTGACAAATTCCACCCTTTCTTATTTTAAACTGCAACGAGGGAGTCAGTTTCCATAGAAAGATAGCCCCACTCAAAGATATGAAAAATAATAAAACAGCAACAGGTATTTATGAAGACAGTTGATTATCATCAGATTTTTCATTACTTTAATACTTCAATTTTCCTTTAAACTGCAGAATAATGAAGAGTGATACAAATATTTTTCCTGACTGTATTACTTGAGAGACCACAAGAATGGAGAAACTGATTATCGACATACATGGTTATAATTTAGCATAATTGTTTTATAAGTCCCAGGCAATTTAACCTCATCCAAGATGCATTTACTTGCAGTGAGGAAAGTAGTTTTATTGCAGTCAGCAGATTTTCAAAATGTATCTGTTTTAACATGCAAATATCAAATTTCAGATTACAATATTATTTACCATATATATATATAGTTTATACACACAAAAATTATATTTTAGAAGTAAATTTGAATATAAAACACTAACTTGTTTAAAAGTTATAGATTTATCATAAAAACGGCACTTAAAATACTTTCCTTATATTCAAACTTGATCTGAAAAAGAACACTGTTAAATGTTTCCTTCCTTTCCTACTACAAGCAGGACACTTCGAACAATTAAAATCATAAAGACAAAGTAATTTAACAACTTGGAATAATGTTCCAACTCCAAATATTAACAGAAATTTTAGTCATTTAAGCACACATGTGCATTGTGCAAATTTGCTTTAAACCGATGTATGGCATTCCTAATTGATTTTATAGCTTTCTCATATACTTATTTAACCCACTGTGACTTTCCAACAGTAAGAAGCAAAAAACTCAGAAACCATTTATACAGGTAACAAAGACACAATTTAGTCAAAAGTTACAAGGAAGAATGCTGTAATTTACTCAATCAAGTGACACTAGATGGAACCTTATAAATATTTCTAAAGTTTCCCATTTAACATCTGCAAGCCACTGGTTTTCAAGGACAGCTTTAAAAATTTACAGAGTACGAGTGACCACTTTAACCCTGCCCGGAAAGGACTCGTTCTGGGGCTGTGAATAATACATAAAACCCAAAGAGGCAAGGTTTACACATAGAGCTGCAGGTATTAACTAAGCCTCCACCAGAAGAAAAGAAACCCCAACTATTCATGCCATAGTAATGGCTGTATTTCCCCAATCACATATAGGACAAGTGGCATTTCAAAGTCTGATTCTTCCTCTGGATTTGGCAACAGCAAAAATTGTACATATGCCAGTTTTACAGGCAAAAGAAAAAAAAAGGACAAGCTGTGGTGTAATTACGCCGCTTTGGAACCCAGGATGACTAAATACTGCTAAATGGTAAAAGTGCACATAAGAAGAATTGGAGTACAGTACACTCAAACACTCTCTTCATCCCTGTTTTCACATTACCGGACCCACTAAATCGACAACTGATTGTGCTCCCATTGACTTCATGCAGTGAAGACACTGTAGTTAGTCGAACTAAGATACAGTCGACTCCAGCTAAGCTATTCATGAGCTAGAGTTGCTTACCTTAGTTCAATAATGCCCCCTAGTGTAGACCTGGCCTTAGAGTAAGTTTATTATGGAGGCAGGAGAAGCAGCTATTAGTCATAGGAAAAGGCTCAATTTGGGGGTCAGTTCTAGGAAATCCATATCTGAGTCAGCCTTACAGTGAAGGAGACTGAAAAGGAAAAGAACAACCAGGTTGGCATCAATTAAGAACCTGTTACAGACAAATCACTACCCAGCTTCATCTCCCTTCATCTCTCTTTTCAGTGTGACAATCTCTCTCTTTCTTTATCATATATAATTTTGAAAAAAGTGTTTCTATATGCCAATTCAGTAAGAGAAAGGTCTTTTGAATGAAGGTCTGCTAGCACTGAAGAAAGCATATTTAGAAAAAAAAGTGTTCAATCAGCAACTTCCCTTTCCCAGATCCCAATCAGAAACTTCCCTTTCCCAGATTACACAAAAATTACACAGAAGACCCATCAATTCTCTTAACCATAATGAAGTGAAGTGGGCAGGGGAAAACAGGTATTTTAACTTGAAATCCAATGAAAAGCCACAGTCCAATAAGAGCTTAATCGTCCTCCTCCTCCTCCCTGAGAAGCTCTGTAGCACGTAGCCACTTTTAACTTCCATTAAATGCAACTTGAGGTCTCAAGTTTCAACTGGAAAACTACAGTCAGAAAAAAAGATCACCCTGCACAAGACTCACAAGAAGGGGTTTTGTTTTGTTTTGAACAAAATATAAAATGCTGTCTGAAACTTTACAAAACTTTCCATCCTGAAATTAAAATTGGCTAACTATATTGACAATACACTCCCATAGAAAGATTTATGGACAACGAAGCAAAAATGACAAGAAAACCCCCTGCCAAAAAAAAAAAAAAAAAAAAAAGCCAGGTCACTCCAACTAGCAGTAGATCTACTGCAACTTTAACTCTCTTGTGTTGAACAATAGCAGACATTGCCACGGTAGACACGGGGCATGAAACCATCAATCTCTCAGGGCCGCCTGGTTGCAGGGAGGCCCAGGGAAAGGGGGGCAGGAGATACAGCAATAAAAGAAAGTTTTCTGTGCAGCATTATGAAGATGTGTAATAAAATGGTCATGGGTGCCATTGTCACTTCAGACCCACAGCCAGCCAGCCACCTCCTGCTTTCCTTGGGGGGGGGGGGGGGAGGAGGAGACAGGCAGAGCCAGAGACATGACAGCTCAGCGAAATCTGCCCCATCCGAGAGCTGCTGGCTCCAGGGCCACCAGCTGGCACCAAGCGGAGGAAAGGGCTGTTTTGTTCCCGTGCCATTGCAACTGGCTCGGCAGCAGGGGAAGAGGGACAGGTCTCCCTCGGGCAAGACCCCGCCGACGGGGGCTTCGGGACGTGCCACAGCGGACACGGGGGGCAGAGGGGAGCCTAGAGACCATGTCGCTGCCCGGCAGCCCCGCGCGCCCGGGAGAGACATTTACACCTCACCAGCTGCCGCCTCCCAGCGGGAGCGGGCAGGGCGAGAGCGCGCAGGGCAGCCGAGCCCTCGCTGCTCCATCCCCGGCTCCTCATCCCCGACAGCGGCGGGAGCCAGCCCCAGAAGCGCGGGGCGCCCCTCACCTTGCTGCCCTGGTAGCTCTCCAGAGCCCGGAAGGCGGTCTCGGTCAGCTTGACGTGCAGCACCGTGATGTTGTCCTGGGTGCCCCTGCCGCAGGACACGCCATACCTGCCCCCCTCCCGCAGCGCCGCCATCTTACACCGCCCCCCGCCCCGCTGCTGCAGCTGCTGCCGCCGCCGCCGCCACCACCGCTGCGGCCGCGCTGCCTGCAGCCGCCGCCGCCGCAGCTACAGCCATCCTGCTGCTGACGTACCAGCTATCCCCGCCACTGCGCAGCCGCCGCCGCGCCCCGCCCACTCGGCACAATGCCCCGCCCGCTCCGGCAGGGACACGCCCAACGGCCCGCCCACTCCGCCTATCGAGCAGCACGGAGCCCCAGCGGGACACGCCCGCTACCCGCGCAGAGCCGCCCCTCGACTAGCCAAGCATGGCCGAGAGGCCGGCGCGAGCTGGGTTCCGCACGGACGGGAGGGGGGGAAGCGCCGAGGCGCTGACGTCAGCAGAGACTTATTTAATCATCTTTGATGTCATTATTGACGTTCCCAGCGACCGGAATTGAGACTCCCACGTGAGCCGCTCCTGCCGTCCGCCCGTGCAGCGAGCGCTGTGACCCCTGCGCGGAGCCATGTGCGGGGTGAGCGGCTGTTGGTCGCCGAGCCGCTCGCCCAGGCGAAGGGGCGGGCTGTGCACGTGCCGCACGCGCCCCGCAGCAGCCCTTCCCCGTGAGCGGTCGTGTGGAAGCGCCTTCCCCGCGCTCCAGCCACTGCCGCTAGACCCAGCGCACAAGCCCCCGTCGGCACAGCTGCCTGGGCGCTGCCGCGACAGGAGGCGGCTGGGGAGCCGCGCTGGTTTAGGGCTACCCCAACTCTCCCGGCGTTTGTGGTGACTCCCACTCAAACTCGTGTAGCCCGCTTTCCTTGTGACCTCCTTTCAAATCCGATTATCTGGACCCTCTTTACACGCTCCTCCCCCTCTCTCGTGTTGCTGCTGCAGTGTAGAAGGGTATTTGTGAATAACGTGGGTCCTCCTCCCAACCACGGTGCTGTAGCTCGTGTGAAAGAGAGGAAGGCAAATCTCCTTGACGTCACGTATCCATGCTACTGCAACTCTTTGTTGCTTCTTCTCTACAACCTCACAATATCCATTTATCTTCTCAACCTAAGTGCCCAGTGGTCTGGTGGTCTTTCACTAGGAGTACTTTTAGAGGACAACTTCCTAGTCTCCTTAGCTCCCATCTCATCCACCTGCAATCTATCAAACATTTCACCAGCTAATCTGTCTTCTCTCAACTCTGTCCCCTTCTCATCCCTTACACAAGTAGGCTACATCTACACTGGCAGCTTCTTGCATCTACACTGGCATGTGCTTTTGTGCAAGAGATGTACTTTTGCACAAGAGTGTCTATGGCAGCATGGATACTCTCTTGCGCAAGAAAGACTCTGCTGGCCATTTTAGCCATAGGGATTTCTTGCGCAAGAAATTCATGTTGCCTGTCTACACACTGCCCTCTTGCGCAAGAGGGCTTATTCCTTGTGGGGAAAAGAATAACTCTTCCAGAAGAAGTCCTGTTTTCTGATGCTGTACTGTAAATTTACTTGCGCAAGAACACGTGTGCAGTGTAGACACCCGGGAAGTTTTTGGGCAAGAACAGCTGTTCTTGCACAAGAAGCTGCCAGTGTAGACGTAGAAGTATTGTTGTGCCCAGAAAAGCTCATGATACCATCTACATAGTTTGTTAGTCTTTAAGGTGCTACTAGACTATTTGTTGTTTTTTAAGTTTTTCCTGTTAGTCTGTAACTTGGCTACCCCTCTGATGCTTAAATTTGAGATCTGGTCTACATTAGGAAATTAGGAAGGTAGAACTGTTTTGTACAGGGGTATGAAACATCCACATCCCTGAGTGACACAGTTAAATCCTACCAGCCTCCACTGTCAACAGTACCAAGTTGAAGGGAGAATTCTTCCATCAACCTAACTACTTGGTAGATTTATTACAGCGATAGGAGACCTGTTGTAACAAGTGTCTATGATGATGTACCATGTTGGCACAGATGCAGCTGTGGTGTTGTTGCATTTTAAGTATAGACATATACTTAGATTGTTAATTTTGAGGCAGGCGCTGTCTTTCTTTACATGAGTAGCAGCCAGTGGATTGTGGCATTAGTGGAATAAGTTTTAAATGTAGACTCACCCTAAGTATACACCAAATGTTAACTTCTGGGTTTTTTTTTAAGAACTCAGTCTCTAGCTGCTATGATATTGGAGAAACTTCACATTTTGAGGCTAACTGAGGTTTCATCTATGCTTAGGTACGTTTGTATAGCAGCTGGCGGGGTGCTTCCCATTCCAGGGAGACAAACAAGTGTAATCTTTGCTGAGCTACTATGCTAGCTGCTGCACACAATCCTATCTAACCTCCTGGGTAAGTACTCTGCTGCTTTACACTGTTTTAATTGAAAGGCATCTTCCTCACCCAGTCAAAATAAAATAAACTGTATCTATAGAAGGCAATTAATAACTATAATCATACTAGGGGTTACACTGATATAACTTTATTGGTAAGAAACTCACATCTCTAACTCAAATAGTTATGCCAGTATAACTTTTTGACTGTAAACTGGGCCTGATGCCTAGATAGCTACACTCAGCCTGAAAACCATTAACACATATGCCCAGCGATGATAATTTAAATATAATCTATAAAGAGTTCTGTGCGGACAGAAAATATATATCCATATGAATACCACCAATTTTTTTTATCCACTCTGACCCCAGCTCTGTTGTTCTCTTCATCCCAGCCAACTGATGTGATAAAGTATAACTTACTTATCTGTACCAAGGTTAAAAGGTGTTAGTTGGCTAACATGTCTTTAAAATATGCCTTTTCCCCTAAGGTAGATGGCCCTTAATGTTCTGTTATTGCTGAATCTCCTTCAGCAACAAATTCAACTCTTTGTTCTCCTTTTCAGAGACCTTCATAACATGACTTTCACCACTATTCTGCTCAAACACAGCACATTGCTAATTATGCTTTCTTCTGCACATCCATTGTTCCCTTCTTCCACAAGTGGCTGCACTTTCTTCTAAGCTGCCCCCATCTCTGGACCATCCTTTCTTTGATCCTTCATGTTACACAATCGCCCTACTCAAAATTCTTACTAATATACATTTATTTTTGCTTCTCTTGCCAGTGATAGACCCCATTCTGGGGAGTGGGGAAGAAAGAGAGAGAGACACACATTAATACAATACATATGTGAAACAAAATTGGCTGTATAACATGCAAGTGTTTATCTAATTTAAGTCCCCTCAATCCTGCAAAGACCTCTGTATAGGTATGCCTCTGTGCAGTGCCCAATTGAAAAGTCTGTCTATACACATCTCTTTGCAGAACTGGTTCCCTAGGAAGAATGTAAGCCTTATTGGGACTATCTCACTTAGGCTATGTCTAGACTGCAGGCCTCTTTCAAAAAAAGAGCATCTAGACTACAACCAGTACTTTCGAAAAAGCAAGCCGCTTTTTTGAAAGAGAGCACCCAGGCAGTCTGGATGCTTTCTTTCGAAAAGGCACAGTTTGTGTTACATAGCGCCTTTTTTCGAAAGAGCACTTTTGAAAAAAGGCATTATTCCTCGTAAAACAAGTTTTTCTACGGTTGAAAAAACTGCCACGTAGATTTACTTTCGAAAGAACACAGCAGCAGTCTAGATGCAGGGGAAGTTTTTTCGAAAAAAGGCCACTTTTTTTGAAAAAACCCTAATGTCTAGACACACCCTTAGTGAAAATGCAGAGAGATGTAGGATATAGGTAGTAGACAGCCAGTGGTGTCTTATAAACAATTCAATACATAGGTTTGAAGTCATGGAGTATGTCATAATATATTTAGGTATTGATAATACAGACTACAGATAGAGGAAGAGAGAAAGGGGAGAACACATTGGCGGTGGGGATTTTCCTATCTGTAGGAAACCAGGAAATCTCCCATCCCCCTCAAAAACATATATTCGCTTATTCCAAACATTACTTAGCCTTGCACCCGAGTGGGTATCCCTATCCTCTTCTTTCCTTTTTTCTGTTGCATGTATACTTATTTTCTCCACATTTTGGAACTGTTTACCTCATTTAATGACTTCAAGACTTTTTTGCTGCTTTTCTCATCTCAAACAACTCACTGCAGGTCCCCTGGCAATAAGACAGACACGTTCTGTCCAACCCCCTTTCCTAAGGAAAGCAAAGAAAACCTTGTGTGTGTGCTATAGAGCAGAAAATGAGATTTGATTAGATAGTCAGTGATCTTTATACTGGTGAAAACAAACATATATTTAGCAATTGCAAAAGGAAAACATGTTCTATATATAATCTGTTTTTGTTTGTTAATTTCCCAATCTTAGGAGATGCAGTTCTGTTAATAATCATGAGCAGAAATATAAAGTGTCTGGTCATTTATTCGTTTACTTAGGGCCTGATCCAAATCCCATGTAAAATCAATGAATTTCCATTGATTTCAGTGGACTTTGGATCAGGCCCTGAAAACTCAGTGTGCCTTCTGAATGACAGTGGACAGCTGGGCAAGCTGATGATTGTATCAGAGCATTTTGTTTTGTATTGTTTTGCACAGTGATGCCCAAGCCTGGCCTTTCAAAAGGACCCATGTATTAGGATCTTGCATGGAGTTTCACAGAAGTAAATGGTGTTGTCTACATGTTGTGACAGATCCAAGTCTTCTTGGGGCTTGTTTACACAGGGAAATAGACCAGAATATCTATTGGAGAATAAGATTCCTCAATAGCTATTTAGATCAATTTTCCCATTTAGCTAAGACCTCATTTAGCAAGTTTGGAAGCCATAATTTTACGACTAGCACTGCTTCTGGATTTTTAATCACCATATCTAACCCCCCTCCGAGCAATTCATTTAACTGAAACATGGTGCTTAAAATGTTATTGGTAGCCTTTCTCTTTCAGTTTTGCTAATGCTATTCTAGCTGAACAGGTGTTAGCAATGGTGGAGAATTTTTGAAAAAAAATCCCTATTGTGGACAGAGCTGATGGGACACTGCAAGAGAGTCAAAGTTTTTGTTTGTGGATCTGATTTCAGGATGAGTCTACAGTTTATAGGCTGCAAAATTAGTGCCATCGGGACTCTGGTTTTTTTAACTATACAGGCAGTCCCCGGGTTACGTACAAGATAGGGACTGTAGGTTTGTTCTTAAGTTGAATGTGTATGTAAGTCGGAACTGGTACATATTGTAGGGGAAACTCCAGCCAAACATTTCTCCAGAGCTCAGTTTTATTCTCCCACACCTCACTTCCCTCAGTCCTTTATTCTCAAGTTGAGGTGTCTGCTGAGAAAAGCCGCTCCGCGTCTCCCTGGTCTGCTGGGGGGGGAGGGGGGGGCGAGTGCTAGCTTCGTGTCTCCCTGGTCTGCTGGGGGGAAGCAGCTAGTGCGGGGTTGCCTCACCCTGTTTGTAAGTAGGGATCCGATGTAAGTCGGATCCATGTAACCCGGGGACTGCCTGTACTGTATTGAATTTGTATGTGTTTTATTTGATAATCCACTCTTTTCTTTATACATTTTATTTACTTTAAGTAAGTTTTAAGAGAGAGAATCTAGCAGCCTGGTCTGCACACAAAGGTTATGTCTGTACAGCTTCTGGGAGGCGTAATTCCCAGTGTGGGAGCTGTACAGGAACTAACTCTGCTTGAGCTAATGCCTAAAATAGCAGTGTGATTGCTGCAACAGTTTGGGCTAGTCACCTATGTGCAATCCCACCAAGACTCCTGGGATGTACACTCAGGAATCTACCCAAATTGCTGCCTGTGCTACAGCAGCCACACTATTTTGAGGTCCTTCCTAGCTGCTTCATAGATGGATGCAAAGTTGTACCAGTTTATATAAATATGTGATCCTAAACTAATTTAGTTAAACTGGTGCAGCTTTGTGAGTGGCTTTATATAGGTAGATGAGCACTATGATTTTTATAGTCTTTATTCTCTTTCTAGTAATTGATTTTTTTTTGTAAGATGGTATCATATAGTCACCAGACCAAAGTTAAAAAAATCTACATCCAATTAAAAAAAGGTACAGTACATTTAATTGTTTCTTTCTAAGGCTGTTTTTTATAAATAGAGGGAAATCTATTAGGATATTTCAGGCTTATTTTGGAGTGAGGAGGGGAAAGCATGGTTGACAGGAGGAGGAGGAGGAGTTAGGAGATGTTCTTGTACCTTCTCCCATCTGTTGCCAGTTTCACCCTGAGAGAGTTGCATGCAGTGGGGCAAAGAGCTTTTTAGTAAAAGGGTCAGCAGTTTGGTCACTGAGCATTCCTCCAGCACTTGTGCCTGCATGACAGATTAATGTATATGCAGAAGGATGAGAGAGAGAATGTAGAAAAATATGTGTTCAGAGATGTGATCAGAAATGCAGGATTATACAAATTGCAAATTTAGAAAAAGGAAATTTCTCTTTACAACTTTATTCAATACTAGCATGAGCAGAAAGCTTTTAAAAACTTGCAACATTTTAGTTCTTTTTTTAAAAAGGTGATGAACATGCAATCACAACAATCACAAGGCACTTACGGTTTTTTTGGTTTTCACAATGCTACAGGATTTGATTTACTTTCCTGTCAGTAAGAAACAGGCTATGGTTGCCGTGGTGTCATTGCCACATGGCTACAAATCAGGCTTACTTTGTTTAGTGTACAGACCAGGACAAAGGAGATAGAATCTTGCTTTGGAAAATCCTTTTGTTTGTGGCAAGGGGTCCCCTAAAGTATTTTAGTTCTGAGAGGGAGAGTTTCCATCAGGAGGGTATTGCTAAAGTCCCATTGGTGCAAGAGAGTACAACATCAGGGGCTTCCAAGAGATTGATGGGACCATAATAGGAGACATTAACTACAAAAGAGGTTTTACAATGAAAAGGCTGTTTCAATCCTCCTTCCTTTGAGGTCAATGGCAAAACTCTCACAGACTTTAATTCTAACAGAACCAACCTCTGGTTAGTTAGCTGGACCTGTGCTCATTTAAAAGAAATGTTCCACAATTTTGTGACTTTTGATTAAAGTGGTATTTGCAAGTACTTATTACTGGGCATAGTCATAGGCACAGTCACTAGGAATAGGGGCACAATAATTTTAAGCACTACTTTTTGTTCCCTCCCCCCCCCCATATTTGCCACAGTTAATTTCTCATGTGGGTTTTGTCTACAAACATTTTTTTAATCTGAGTTAATTATTCAGTTTCTTTAAATTAGAAATGCCCAAATCTCAGATGCACTTGGATCTGCCCCTTAATCCTGTGAATTAAGGTTTTGTTTGTTTATGTGAAATTTACGGTAGTCCTTGTTGGGGGGAAAAACTATGAAATAATCTGTGCATGGTTAGGAGGAACAACTGAGTATTACCAGAAAGCTCTCCCTCTTTCTTCATTTGTGCACTGTTTAGTACACTGTGAGAACCTTGTAGCTTAGGAGACAAAAGATGATTCGGGTGTACTTCATAATGCTGGTGGAGTCGGTCAATGATGCTTGCACGTTTTTTGGTGTGGACCAACTTCTGTTAGTGAAAGAGAGCTCTCTTTCTCTTGTCTCTTTCACCAAAAGTCTAGTAGAAGGCACATTAAAAGAGCAGTACGCTATTTAAAATGTAGAATTGTTTTATTTAATCCGAGGGTCCTCAAACTTAATTGCACCATGACCCCCTTTTGACAATAAAAATTACTACACAACCTCTGGGGGGGGGGGACTGCCTTGGGTTGGGTGGGCCAAAGCTGAAGCCTAAAGGCTTCAGCCACAGGCAGTGGGTCTGTAACCTAAGCCCCACCAGTAGGACTGAAGTCATCAGGCTTTGGCTTCAGCCCCATGTGGTGGGATTGCGGCTTCAGCTTTTAGCTCAAGGCCTCAGCAAGTCTAACACCCAGGCCTGCTGGCAGTGGATGGGGGGGGGAAGAGGTGGATGGAGGGAGGGAATGAGCAACTGCTCCGGGGCCCACCAACTCAAAAGGGCCTGGGGCTTCCATTTGCCACCACTGTTACAGCAGCAGCAGCGTTTCGTACCCTAGGCCTGTTAAATTGCCACTGGAGCATCACATGGCACACTTCCCTTGGGGGAGTCTAGCCCCAGCTCTGCCCCTTCTGGGGGCATGGAGCTTGGCTAGAGACCTGGAGAATCTGTTGGCCCCATTGCTAACACCAACGCTAGCAATGCCATTACACTGGGGGTGATGACCTATTTTGGATTCCAGACCTGCAGTTTGAGAACCACTGATTTAATCTTATGCAGTGTTATTCTGTTCCTCTAACATTTAAATTTGTAGTTTAGCCTGTGAAAAAACTGCTTAGTGCCAGAAGCCGGAAAATATTTTGTGATTATTTAAACATAATAGCCATCACTTGGATGATTATTTCAGAAGATTCAACAGAATTGTAGAAGAAAGGGTAAATAGCACATGAAATTAAACAGGTCTTTATTCATTCAATTCATCCATTAAATACAATCCTTTGTTTTATGTTGCTTAAAAAAATAGTAGTCTTTGAATGTGGACCTTTGTATATAACAATCAGTGTTAAATACTATGTCTTAAAATAGCATCATTACCTATGGACATGATAATTGTGTGAAAACCCCTACCTTGCACAGCGTGATATGCCTTCTTTTTTTAGCAGATGTCCTATAGCTCAGAGGCATTTAAAATCCCATTGGATATGGGGAAGTTGCCAAGGTAACCAAGATTTGGATTTAAGAAATAGGAAAAACTAATCAGTAATTTATTTGGAAAATAAGCATGACTAGATTTTGAGTCAATTATATACAATATAATCATAACATGACAATTTGACTTCTAGGAATCAAGACTTCTAACCATGATTATTTGTCAATAAGAATAATTTTTTTTTAGTCAGAATAATTTTTTGTCAGTTGGAATAAATTCATTTAGCTCAGGGATTACATTATCTAGCAATTTTGACTAAATTATTGCTTAACATTTAAACCAGGGGGAATGGATTAAAAGAAACGATAATATATTTAAGACTGGAATGAAAATATAATCAAGTCAATGATAAAGTGAAATAAATATACATAAAGCTTCTGTTGGAAGTTCTGAAAACACAATGAAAGGCTAGTTCAGAAATGATTTTTTTGGTATTTTTGTATTTAGCTTTGTTTTTTTGCCTTTGAGTCTACAAACATATGTTGGCAGGATTGGGGCCCTACTTTTACAAAGGCAAACTAAAGGTAGACATTTCTAAAACATAAACAGTAATAAATATTTGCATCTTGCCTTTAGAGTTAAATTAATCTAGTCATAAATATTAGTAAGCAAGCCATTAATGTTTCTCCCTCTAATCAGAATGTCTTTTTCATGTACCTTAACAGTGATGGTAAAATTATATTATTAACTTATTAAAGAAATCTTCAGTGCAGATGAATGAAAAGGAGATGAAATGTTTAAAAATAAATGTGTTCCATATCTTAATTCTGATTTATTTTTTTCATGGTTGAAGATTATGGCCTGGGTCATCACACAACAAATGTAAAGTGACCTTAAAACAGGGATAGTTAGTCATGGGACTATAACCACAGTGTGGGATGTACACTAATAGTGTAGAGATGGTGTAGGAACTCCTGCATCATGCCTATGGTTGAAACAGAGGTTGTGGTTGGTAAAGAGAGATATCGCC